AAGAACGGGGTGAGGAGTTCACGTCCAGCGTGATGAGATGAGGTGGCAGGAGAGGCGGTGACAGGCTGGGGGAGGAGTGACCGCAGGCTCCTTTTAGATTTTTGTTTGAAATGGTTCTTAGATACATGAAGACATTGAGGCGCGGAACACGTCCAATCAGTTTAAGTAACAGTCGGCACCTGATGTTCTGTATTTGTCTTGTGCTCGCTCTTGAATCAGGCGCAGCTGCCAGGGGCTTGTCCTGGGGCCTCAGGGCTCTGTGTCAGGTGAAAGCGCTGTGAGCACCTGCGGGTCTGCTTTCCGGGGCTGCTGCTGGGCAGGCCCAGGCCCAGGTGTGGAGGACACTGCACCTTAGGGCTGGTCAGGCTCCCAGGGACTCTTCTAGAGACAGGCAAGTCCTCTGCAGTGATAGGGATGCTCTTCTTCGAACAGAACACAGGTGTACTGTGGGGCGTACACAACAAACTTTTGCCCCTGTGGGCACCTGTTAGTGAGGGATGGCAAACAGTGAATAATACAGAATGTTCAAAGGTAAATGCTTTGAAAAATGCAGCAAGGGGGATCCAGAATTTCTGGGGAAGATGTTGTAGTTTAAAATGAGGTGACCGGGTGAGCCTTAAGGGGCGGGAGGTGGCCATGGTCCTACCAGGTGGGAAAGCGCTCCAAGTAGAGGGAAGAAAGGAGCTCCCAGCACCGAGGCGGAGCCTTGGTGAGTCCTGCCAGGGTGGCCAGGATGGAACGAACAGGAAGAGGAGGAGTGGGTTGGGTTGGGGGGGTGCCCATTTCACAGGTCTCTGGAGCTGCTACCAGGACTCTTCCCTGAGCTTCCACAGGTGTGAGCTGCAGGCTCTCAGTGTGCCCGGGCAGCGGTAGTAGAAGCAGGGAGGCTTGTAGGAAGCTCGTGACGAGGAGGGAGATGCTGGTGGTGACTGGTGCCAGGGTGGTCACAGGAGATGGTGAGACGTGGTTGAATTCTGGATATATTTTGAAGATTAAACCAATATGATTTGTTGCTAGGTTAGAGGTGGCATGTGGGAGAGGAACCAAGATGGTTCCAAGGTGTTTGGTCTGAGCAGTTAGAAAGATTGAGTTGCTGTCATCCATGATGAGGATGACGCACGAAGGCAAGTTTGGGGAATAGACCAGTCGTTCAGTTTTAGACGTGATGAGTTTGAGGTGCCTGTTAGACGCTCGTGTTGATGCCCAAGTCTGGAGTGCGGGGAAGGTCTGGACTAGAGGTGACTTGCAGAGTCATCACTTAGGTGGTATTCAAAACCACTAGACTGGATGGGATCATCAAGGGGTCCCGTGTGGGAAGAGGACCCAGGTTGAGTCCTTTTAAACTGCAGTGTTGAGAGGATTGTTATAGTGTGCAGTGTTAGGGGTCTTAATGTGGATATTTTTAAAATAATATAAACTTAGGGGGAAATTGCCTCTTCACTAACACCTAACTAGAAGTTAGGCATTTCTTTTAATTACTAATGTAAACAGCACACTACAGTACTATTAACAGTACCTGTGTGTCTACTAGTACAGATCACAGATTTCTTTGTAATATACAAGTAACATTGAAAGAAAATTAATTAGAAGGTGGCCCTTGCTCGGGGCTGGGCTGGGGAGAAGGGCCAGGCAAGCCCTGGAGCCAACCTCCTGCAGTCCCTCCCCCGCATCTGCAGTGAGCAGGGTCCCTCCAGCAGGTGGGGTCCCTAGGCCTGGCCTGCGGGGATCAGCCAAAACCGGCTCTCTGACAACCCCCACCCCCACCCCCCAGAGGCCCCGGAGTGGGAGAGGGCACTCTGCAAAGTTGCTGTCGTACAGGGTGTGGAACGCAAACGCAAGTGTGCAGTAAACCAGATTCAGGCCAGTAGTGCCGCAGCAATAACATAACCCACGGCTGAAGGTGGAATCGCACGGGCCCCTCAAGGATTCGGGCTCCCTCCTCTCTGGTTTCGGGGTTCGTCACCTGAGAACCGTCGCTGCCAAGTCACTGCGGCTCGGCAAGTCCTGTGTTGAGCATCTGTCCCCTGGTGGTCAGTGCATGTCATAGTGACCGGTTGGACACTTAGCGTATTAGCCTTTTTTATATATAGATGGTGCTTATTGTAGATACCTCAAAATGTGATTTATGTTCATCATTACATTAAAATTACAGTGGATATGAGATCCACCACTAGATTAAGAAGCATATTACTATACTATTATAACACATTTGGGGAGTTTTTTTGGTCCCCAATGTAACTGGTCTCTTGTAATTATATGTATTTTATTTTACACATTTTTAAAAATATTAACCTGAGAAGGCATCCACAGGCTTCACCAGGCTGCCAAAATGGCCTGTGGCACAAAAAAGTTAAACCTCTGGGCTCTGGAGCCAATAACTGCTCATTTCGAACCTTGCCTTGTTTACTTAACGGCATTATTCACCAGGACAGGTTTTGTTACGACTCTGCCTTGGTGTCCTTATTTGTAAAGTGGGGATCATAATAGCATTTTCTGCGAAGGTTTTTATGAGGATTTAAGAGTTAGGATGGATATTGGATGGAAAGATGCAGCTAGAAAGAACAGTACTTTACAAGGCACCCTCATTGGAAAAGCATGGTGAATTTGGCAAAACTAAAGTTTATTAAGTGGAAAAATATTTCAGTATTTTTAAATAAGATATAAAGCTGTGAGGATAAATTCTCAAAATTCTCATAATTCACCTTGGCTACGTTGGGGATAGAGATGCCATAGAAAGCTTAACTAGGAGAAAGTCTCATCACGTAATCACCAGATTCCACATATGGTTTAGACCAGTGGTTTTCAACCTTCCTAAGGACGCGACCATTTAATTTAGTTCCTCACGTTGTGGTGACCCCAACCATAAAATTATTTTCGTTGCTGCTTCATAACTGTAATGTTGCTACTGTTCTGAATCGTCATGTAAATATCTGATGTGCAGGATGGTCTTAGGCGACCCCTGTGTAAGGGTCGTTTGACCTGGTAGGACCATGGCCACCCAGGTTGAGAACCGCTGGTCTAGACATTTAGTAGCTTTGTATACAGTACATGAATAAAATCGTTTGTTATTTTATAAGAGAGGAATATCTTTGTAGTATTGAGGGATGGCGCTACAGGCCAGGGTTCCCTTTTTGGGCTACTGAGGTACATGGGAGGCCAAAGTATTACGTGGAGGGTTTTCTGGTGAAGTAGAGGCAGCCTCATGAACTCGCCTGTACTTAGGACGGAGTCCATCCCTCCAGCATTCATGTCCTTTTCTGTTTTGCGCTGGCCTTTTCTGATTTCAGGCGGGCGATTCTCCTATTGATACATTATTTCTTTAGCAGGGTATGAAGCGACTGTTGATACAGTTGTGTTTTCCTAAGAAATGTTCCAATGGTTAAGACACTTTGTACATACAGATTATCAATCATACTTTCCTAATTTCCTTAGTGGAACGTTGGTATTCCCAAATCTTTTCTGCTACCTTTTACTATAGTGTCTAGATTTAATCTATTCCCCCCTTTAAGAAATGAAATTCATTATGATTTACTCTTTAACAGATAGAATAGTTTTTCTTGACCCTGATATTCAGTGTTCCATGAGCATTGTCAGTTTTTGCAGAGAAGCTAGAGTAGTCATATTCTGGATGGCAAAATATGACTCGACTGGGCTACAGAATCAGAAGTTGACCAGCTTTGTCATTTTTTAAAATTCTTTCAGAGTACTGTTGAGTACCTTATTTTGTAATGCACTAGGTAATTATTAAGACCCTGAGAGATTATTTATATGGAAACCGATCCATTTATACCCAGAGTCACTGAAAATCAGCTTTAGAATTCTTTTTCTTTCTGAGATTCATTCTTTAGGGAAGAAAAACACCTTTTATTTTGAAAAAATTTCAAACTTGCAGGAAAGTTGCAAGAATAGTATAATGAATTCCCATATACTTTTTGTCTAGATTAACAAGTAATTGAAAATTTACTACATTTGCTTTATTTTCCTATATAAAAGACATGTACGTGTTTGTTTCTTTTTGGCTAAACTATTTGAGAGTATAAATTGCAAACATGACTCTTCATCCCTGAATATTTCATAGTATTAACAAAGAGCAATCATTTTCCTAGATAACTAATATACAGTAATCAAATTCATAGAAGTTAACAACATTCGGTTACCTTATACTAGTATGTAGTTCATATTTAAATTTTGCTTATTGTTCCAATAGTGTCTTTTTTTCTCTTTTTCAATAGTGTCTTTTAATTTTAGTCTAGGATTACATAGTTCACTTAATTGTCATGTTTCTTAGTCTTTTTTTCTTTAATATCTGAATATAGAGCTTTAAATTCAAGTTCTGGGAGGTACTTACTTTGCTATGATCTTTTTGTACTAACTTTAAATGTGATATTTCAGAGACAACGATATCTGACACTGTGTTTAAAATGGTTTCTTTTTTTTTTTTTTTTTTGTTAATTCTCGTCCAAGGATATTTTTCCCCCATTGATTTTTAGAGCAAGTGGAAGGGAGAGAGGAAGAGAGAGAGAAACTTCAGTGTGAGAGAGGCACATTGGCTGGTTGCCTCCTGCACACGGATGAGGCCGGGAGTGAGCCTGCTACGGAGATAGGAGCCCTGGACTGGAAATTGAACCTGGGATCCCTCAGTCCGCAGGCCGATGTTCTAGCCACTGAGGACAGCTGGCCACGGCGAAATGGTTTTTTTTTTTAAATCACTAAAACAACAAATGCTTGTTGCGAAAGGGTAAGAAAGTACAGGTGTTTATAGAGAAAAAAGGTAGAAATTATCCGTAACATCTCTTCCCTGCTCCACCTCTCCAGACGGTTCCTCTGTGTGGATAAGGAGACGACGCTCAGACCAGGACTGATGTTTGTTTTCATGTAAATGGGCTACTGCTGTACACAGCACTTTCTTCTACCGATCGTGTCATGTTTGCATTTACATATAAGATGTGCTCATCGTTTTTTAATAGGTACTATACCGTACTATGGATTTACTACATTGTTTTATTTTCTTAAGGTGTCTGGTTATCATGTTAAGCAGTTTAAAAGGGCCTTATGACATGTTGTGCTATGTGGAAGGTGTCTCCTTTCAAATCTGTTTCCCCCTGGGGTGAGTATGTCTGGTAATTTATGATAGTGTTTTGACGATTTTATTTAGAGTTTGACTCCTATACCATTTTCTTTTTTCAAAAAAGTGTACTTTATTGTCCATACTTAATGTTTGCCATGGTGCTGATGGATTAAATAATTTTCATTCCTGCCCTACTTTGATTAGTTGCTTAGTTATTTTATTTTTAATATATTTTTATTGATTTCAGAGAGGGAGGGAGAGGGAGAAAGATAGAGATAGAAACACAATGATGAGAGAGAACCATTGATTGGCTGCCTTCTGCATGCCCCACACTGAGGGTTGAGCCCCAACCCAGGCACATGCCCTGACTGGGAATCAAACCATGACCTCCTATCCTAGTTCCATAGGTCAACGCTCAACCACTGAGCCACGCTGGTCAGGCAGTTGCTTGGTTATTTTAAAGAGAAAACTTAAGGCATTTAAGTGCAGTTTCTTGAAAATGGTTTGAAATTGGTCGACACGTTGGCCGACTGAACACTCAGTAGGTTTGTTGTTTTTAATAATTGGATTTATATTCGACAGTCTACATCCATGGATTCCAAAGAGAGACAATTATTACCTTGTGTAGATTTTGGTTTTTGTATGCTGATAAAATGTTGTTTGTATTTGTACCTCCTAGCTTTGGAATTCATGTATAATGTACTTTATGTTGAGTTTGGTAGCCTCCCCTTCTTAAAAATTTAATTATTATTTTTTAATCCTCACGTGAGGATATTTTTTCATTGATTTTTAGAGAGAGTGGAAGAGAGGGAAAGGCAGAGAAATATTGATGTGAGAGAAACAAATCGAGTGGTTGTCTCATGCAGGTGTCATGAGGAACGACCCTGCAACCGAGGTACGTGCCCTTGACCAGAATTGAACCTGGGACCCTTCGGTCCTCAGGCTGATGCTCTATCCACTGAGCCGACCTGGCTAGGGCCTTTTTTTTTTTTTTTAATCGAGCTAACAATTACTTTAGTCTTTTCCAACTGAACATATACATTGGCCATTAGATGGAGGTTTAAAATTGGTCCGAATTAGATATATGCCTTTTATTTTAGAATGCTTTTTCTGTCAGATGCTAACATCTCACAAGTGAAGATGTCCTTGGGAGGGTGTGTGGGTTGGTATGAGTGATTTGCTTGCAGGCTGGAGGAGGTCTGGGGGCTTGCTGTGGGCTGGCAAGAGGCTGGAGCAGCTCTGCTTTCCGACTCGAGCCGTTCTCGCCACTCACTCCTGCCACGTGTAGTGAGGGTCTCTCTGGGAGGGTTGTGTAGTCATCACCAATGTTTGCTTCAGTGACTTGTATTTTGAGTCTTTTGTCTGATATTTAGCCTCTTGGTGAATAGTTATTTATTTTTTGGTGAATAATTATTCATGACATACTCTACTTTAGTTGACAGATGATGCGTGTCAGTTTTAAAGTTTTTATGAATTTTGTGTTAATGTGAAGTAGAGCTAACATTTTTTATAAATTATGTAGATGGCTGCACAAACCCTTTAAAGATAATTTGAGAGAGAGAGAAAGAGGGAAATGTTGATTGGTTGCCTCCCATATGCACCGTACCTAGGGATTGAACCTGCAGCCTTTTCCATCTGTGAGACAATGTTCCAACCAACTGACCCACCCAGCCAGGGCTGCAAAGACCCTTCATATTGAAATCCATTTATTCTGACCTTGAGCACACACAAAGGCTTTCTAAAATTGCCTGGTTAAAAAATGTAACTCTTCCATTAACTTACCAACTAGACCAGAGTATCTATCTCAACTCTGTAACGTAAGCTGCATATTTTATGTCCTACTTCTGCGGTGGAAATAGCGTTATGAAGACTCAAGTCACCTGAAACATTTATTAAGCATGCACTACTCTGTACCCAGCTGCTAGGTACTGGGATTCCTCCATTTAAAAGAATACGTCTCTACTGTATCAGGTGTTCATCGTGGTCTTTGGATTTTCTAGTCAATGGGACTACAGAATCCCTTAGGTCCTAGCAACAGAACCAAACAAGTCTAAACCTTGTGAAGGAATGGGTAAGTGGTCACACAGGCTCTAATACACTGTTAGCTCTTCTTTATGCTTTGTATTAGTAACCACCTGAAGTATCTTAAAAGTTGGAGAATTATAAAAATACAGCTGCTTGCAAACACATTTAAAACATTTTTATGTGGAAAACGTAGTCATGATGGAAACAAGAATTCACAGGCAGCCTGCGTATGTCACCGACACACACACCTGTCAGGTTTGGCAGCCAGCACATGCCCCGCTGACAAATCGTCCCTCACAGCCAGGTTCCAACTTGTGCCCCGACTTTTATATCCTCTGACACCGAGCTTCTCTAATAACGAAGAAAAGTAGTCAAAGGAAGGTGAGCACCAACTGTTTCTGGGCGGTCTCCTTGTTTCTCCAGGGCGTGCGAGCAGTGCTGTGGTTGGGGAAACGCTGGTTTTATATTCAACTACCACTGGTTGTTTCAATGTTGACATTCTTCCTTAATAAACTGCTGTTGACCTGCTGTCATAATTGTGACAATAAAGTTTTGTTTTTACTTTTTAATGGACATAAAATAATAATGGACATAAAATATGCAGCTTACGTTACAGAGTTGGTAAACTTAAGCTTAAAGAGTATGCCTGTTGCCGAAACCGGTTTGGCTCAGTGGATTGAGCGTCGGCCTGCGGACTGAAAGGTCCCAGGTTCGATTCCGGTCAAGGGCATGTACCTGGGTTGCGGGCACATCCCCGGTGGGGGATGTGCAGGAGGCGGCTGATCGATGTTTCTCTCTCATCGATGTTTCTAACTATCTCTCTCCCTTCCTCTCTGTAAAAAATAAAAAATATATTATTAAAAAAAAAAAAAAAAAAAGAGTATGCCTGTTATAGTTAACCTTGGGGAAAACTTCAGGAATACATTTTCACCAATTTCTAACAAAATATTTAATTCTACCTCAACGAAGTTTATCTGTTTACTGTAGATAATTTGCCTTCTGTGGAGAGGGGCGATGTCTGTTTTATGCCTTTCTCAGGTCACACCCTACTGTGCTGCTGCTTGCGCTGCTTTTGTCTTGCTTCGGTGCAAGCTGTGTCCAGGTGGTGAGGTAGTCCCAGTCCACGGTCCTCATAGGACTTGAAGTCATGGTTTCTGGACAGACAGACAGACAGGGCTCCCATGAGCAATAATGAACATGTTTGTGGGAGCATGAGATGCCCAAGAGCTATTGCTCCTCACTGCTAACGCTAGGGAATCCAGGTAGTTGTGAATTCACAAGAGGCTATGCAATTATGGTTCCTTTGAAGTGAGAAATTTCCTTGTAACTTGTGTGGATGATTTCTCTACTTAAAGAATTGTTTGGAAAAATGGGACCATTCTTCTCTAGCCTAAGTCGTACAACATTAAGACGCTAACGTAATGATTCTCTGATTCAGAAATTTGCATTATTCACAGTTAATTGTTAAAACCTGTGCTCATTTTACGGTACTACAGAGGCAGAAGGTATACTGGTACAAGGTTGGCGAATATTTCCAAAAAGAACTTAGGTCATACTTTGAAATTTCCCTGTTAGTGAATTTTCTTATTTTTTTGTCCTCATTAAGAGAAAGTTTGAGGAAAGTAAGTGACATTGTTCTGTTTCAGTGAAATTTCAGGTTATAGATTAAGCCTAGGTTTATTAAAGTAATTTCTTTGAGGCCATCAATGCATATATTTTGGTTTTGTAAAAGGCACGATTTAGAACAGGGGTTGGCAAACTGGCTAGTTGGCAAAATCCAGCCTACCAACATGTTTTGTACAGCCCGTGAGCTCAGTTCCCAGGCATGTATCTTGATTATGGTGGTGGTTACGTGAATCTATATGTATGGACTAAAATTGCATAGAACACACACATACACAGGTATGAATATGAATGCAGGTTAAAAACAATGGTGTAAACTGAATAAGATCTAGTCTGGCTAACATAATGTACCAATGTCAATTTTGTGGTTTTAATATTTGTGTATGGCTATATAAGATGTCACCATTGGAAGGGGGCTAGATGAGAGTACAGAGCTACTGTTTCTGCAACTTCCTGTCAATCTGTAATTATTTAAAAATAAAAAGCTTAAAAATGTATAAGCATATTGATCACTGGTAAATATCAGATTGCTGTAAAAGTTTCTAAACTTTAGTCTCAATTTATGTATTTCTGGATATGCAACGAAAGTTGGCCGACTGGCACTGGCCTGAAGACTACAGTTAAGTGTCAATAACTCCTTGTGCCCTCTGTGGCTACTCCATATTTTTTTCCATTTGCAGTCTCTCTACCTGTCATCTCTCTCTTTTTTCCCCCCAAATATATTTTACTGATTTTTTTTACAGAGAGGAAGGGAGAGAGATAGAAACATTGATCAGCTGCCTCCTGCACACCTCCTATTGGGGATATGCCCGCAACCAAGGTACATGCCCTTGACCGGAATCGAACCTGGGACCCTTCAGTCTGCAGGCTGACCCTCTGTCCACTGAGCCAAACCTGTTAGGGCTCTACCTTTCATCTCTTATCTCTACTCATTTGTTCAAAATTATTTACTGTGCACCTTATCAAGACCTGGGGATTAAAAAAAAAAAAAAAAAGCAAGGCCCTTACTATTTATGCTTATTTTCTTTTTTAGAAAAAATATTTTTATTGATTTCAGAGGGGAAGGGAGGAGGAGAGATAGAAACATAAGTGATGAGAGAGAACCATTGATTAGCTGCCTCCTGCACCTTCTGGGGATGGAGCCCACAACCTGGGCATGTGCCCTTGACCAGAATCAGATCTGGGTCCCTTCAGCCTGCAGCCGACGCTCTATCCACAGAGCCAAACTGGCCAGGGTGAGAAAGGTAGATCCTTAGTAACTGTTGAACAAACAGCCTTGTGATCAATAGGAGTACTGTACTTACAGTTCACAGAGTTGCCTTTCTAAAACAGCCATTGGGTAATGGGTGATTGTATGCCACAGTTGCCTTAAGCCCAGCTAACTCATGGTAGTCAGCTGGACACCTATTGGCCAATCAAAACCTTGGGCTCCTGAAGGACTAACTCTGCTTAAAAGAGGTTTGCAAACGTGCACATGCACGACCATAAACTAAGCAGGGAACTAGGTAGATGTGATTCTTTGTGATAAAAGCTGTTCTTATGAAGACTTTGTTTTTGACGTGCTCTTCCATATCGTTGACTGTCTGAGGCGTTTAAATTTAAGTCTTGAATGTTTGGCACTGTAAGTGGCCAAGTGTATAAATGTCGAAACATGACTTCAGTGCAGTTCCAGCTTCTGCAGGTCAGATGTGTTCATTTGTGCTCGTTGAGGAGGCCACAGATTTAGAAACCTAAAAAAGAAACGAACACTAAAATGGAAACAAACCTAAACAAATAAACAAGCTGTAAAATCCTGTTTTTCTCCTCATAGTGAGGTCATCACAGTCCTGGGGAAGGGCTCCGAGTGCTGGCTGTGCCTCTGCTGGGATGCACTCCGTGAACTGCGACCCCGTGGCCTTCGGGTGGCACGAGTGCCTGCCTTTTGTTCCCAACCAGTTCTCCTGTCTTCTCTCTGAGTTTTGCCTCTTCACAGTTCCCTTCTTCTGCAATTTCATGTTCTGTCACGGGGTCTAGTTTTTACATAGTTTGTTCTCATCGATGAGTATGGATTTAGAAAGATCTGACTCCTGTCTTCCAACGTGCTCAGAGTCTGTGGATTGGGCGCTGCACTGCCCTTTTCTGTCCCTTTCTGTTCCGTTTCAGACACCACTGCTAACCGGGCCCTGACACTTTCTGTTTGTTTGGAATTTGACTTTTCTTTATTAACATGAAATGCCCTTAGGATGACAAACTTGATCTTTCTCCAAATTTTCGATGTGCTTATACCCTTTTTGTTATAAACTTTTTATTTTATTATCAAGTGAAGGGCCATGTCTTGCCATCTCTGTCTAGCAGTTGTCTGATTTCTGAAATGAACCGTCCCCCACCAGTTCCACATGTACAGTGTTTCTTCAGCCCTTTGACTGTGTCATTACTTTCTTCACGGTTTGTCAGGATTTTCTCTTCATTTGCTTGTTGAGAGTAAACTGGCTGAGGCTGGGGAAAGGGTTCCGTCTCCTCAGATCTCCAGCACTTCCTGTGTAGGGTCCATGCAGACAAGCACGGATGCGCTCGAGTGCCCACTGAGGGAGGAGCAGAGTCAGAGATGGCACTGCAAGGGTTTGAAAACTCCACATTGTACGGACTGAAACCAGATCTAGTGCCATGGGTTGTGCGACACGTGAGTTTATGAATCACTGGGAGAGGAGGAACACTGCCAGCTACACGTGATGCTGTTGCTGGTGCGATGCCTCTGCCAGGTGCGACCTGAGGAAGGCACCACAGCACGGTGAAATGCAGCTGTTTCATCTCGGCTGTGAGTTTTTTCTTTTTCATGTATGTGATGCCTTAAAGACTACAGGTATTATATATATATAATGTTGATTGATTTCAGAGAGGAAGGGAGAGGGAGAGAGAGATAGAAACATCAATGATGAGAGAGAATCATTGATTGGCTGCCTCCTGCACACCCTCTCCTGGGGATGGAGCCTGCAACTCAGGCAAATGCCCTTGACTGGAATCGAACCCGGGACCCTTCAGTCTGCAGGCTGATGCTCTAACCACTGAGCCAAACCAGCCAGGGTATGGCTGTGAAATTTTGAGTCGTTTCTATGGAGTAGAAAAAAGTGGTTAGCCTAGGCACTGCTTCAGGTTTCATTACTAACTTATTTTTCTTTTTACCCTTTTTTACTTGGTTTTGTATGGCTACCTTAGACACTGGTGAATGAACTGAATTATGGTGGCGTTAGGCCTACGTTTGGGGAAAGGTTTTTTGTACATTTCTTTTAAGGGCCATTTAAAACATTATTGTATGTATTCCAGTCTTGCAACATAGCCTACAGCAAGCATGTCAAACTCAAAGGCTAACATGGGCCAAATAAACAAGGTTTAAGTGTATGTGGGCCACAAAAAACCCCAAAAGCTTCAATTTTCCTAGAAAGGTAGGTTTATTTCAAGAGACATACTGAATACAAAGGGCTGAAATAAACGAGTCATTGTTAGCACAAATAAACCTATTTTTCTTGTTCTCCGAAAGTGAAACATTTCCTGTTGCGCACACCAAGCAAGCGAGGCCGAGACTAATGACGTGGCCATCGGCTGCTGAAATACTCGCTGCTGGTGTCAGTGGGGAGAAATGGTGCGCCTGCGCGTAAGGGAGAGGAATGCAACACGATGATCATTATGTATAACAGCATATTGTAAAAATTAAGTTACAAAATTCTGATTAAAATGTTTCTTACTTACTGTTATATTGGCTGGGCTGCAAAAATATTTGTTGTGGGCCACAAGCGGCTTAGTCACCTGCTTAGCATGTAAACCTGGCTGTCAGCCTTAAGCCCTTTGTAGCTCTCCTTTCCCCGTGTGCCCGTGGGTACGTGTGCACTCCAGACCTTTGGCTTTGGATTCCTAAGTCATTGTGGTTACCTGCGTTAGGACATAACTGGGAACCAGGAGCTCAGAGAGAGAGGCGTGCTGTGATGTGCAGCAGAGTAGGCATACCAGCACTCAGC